CAGATAGAGGAGCCGTTCTGATCACTCGCGGAGTATGCCGTACGGATAGAGGAGCCGTTCTGATCACTCGCGGAGAGTATGCCGTACAGATAGAGGAGCCGTTCTGATCACTCGCGGAGTATGCCGTACGGATAGAGCCGTTCTGATCACTCGCGGAGTATCCCGTACGGACAGAGGAGTCGTTCTGATCACTCGCGGAGTATGCCGTACGGATAGAGCCGTTCTGATCACTCGCGGAGCATGCCGTACGGATAGAGCCGTTCTGATCACTCGCGGAGCATGCCGTACGGATAGAGGAGTCATTCTGATCACTTGCGGAGTATGCCGTCCGGACAGAGGGTCGTTCTGATCGCTCGCGGAGTATGCCGTACGGAGAGAGGAGTCGTTCGGATCACTCGCGGAGTATGCCGGACGGATAGAGGAGTCGTTCTGATCACTCGCGGAGCATGCCGTACGGATAGAGGAGTAGTTCTGATCACTTGCGGAGTATGCCGTACGGGCAGAGGAGTCGTTCTGATCACTTGCGGAGTATGCCGTACGGACAGAGGGTCGTTCTGATCGCTTGCGGAGTATGCCGTACGGATAGAGGAGTCGTTCTGATCGCTTGCGGAGTATGCCGTACGGATAGAGGAGGCGTTCTGATCACTCGCGGAGTATGCCGTACGGATAGAGCCGTTCTGATCACTCGCGGAGTATCCCGTACGGATAGAGGAGTCGTTCTGATCACTCGCGGAGTATCCCGTACGGATAGAGGAGTCGTTCTGATCACTCGCGGAGGATGCCGTACGGATAGAGGAGTCGTTCTGATCACTCGCGGAGTATGCCGTACGAAGGCTTTATGACTTTAGTTAGTCTTACTTAGTGTTAGATAAGTCTTTTTTTCCCGAAGATTTTGATTGATATTTTATCTCTGCTACATGAGCTTGGAATACAGTCAAGCGAAAATGTAATTTTCAAAATGTTGCCACTGGTATCAAAGATCAGCCTACACCCGTAGTTCGAGATACATACTGTCTTATCAAAGTCGATAAAAAGTACATTTATGAAAAGCATACGGAAGTTTGTCCCTTTTTCAATGTCAAGGGGCCAAATGTAATTGATTTTTAATGATCCCTTTCCCACTGTAGGCGAATCACTCGAAACTTCCTGTATAGTTGTTAGTACGTACAATGCATTCGCTTTGAATATAAATGTAGCGCGACTGAGACAGCCTCCGATACTTCCTTTGACCAGGTACAATGTCGCTCAACTGGTTAGAGTGAGGGAATGCTGATCTTAGGCCAAGAGTTTCAAGTTCTTTATTAACTTTAAGTCTTACGACTTATCAGTGTAAACATATATTAAACAGGATATTTACATATGTACAAAAAGCCACATTGGTCACAGGAGAATGAACAATACACACATACAAACTGTCCGAACCCTTATAAAAAACGCCCTTTCTATTTTTACACTAAGATCAGTATTGTTGACTGTGGTNCCACCTATCATTCCTGTAAGGTATGTTTTCCTTTTCAGCAATGATCCAGGATATACTTTAGAAGTCATGCCGGAACAAAAGTCTGCGATGCATTGTAGCGGTGTGGTGATACTAAAACTACTTCTCCTGAATAGAGAGGTAGAAAAGGGCACTGATATTAAGTTTAACCTGTATGTTGCGGGAACAAAGGGCTATCAGGTTTGGTTTTATGAGAATGACCTGCACGTATATGTAAGGTCACCAGGGTTAAATGTGTTGGAACCCTTTCTTTTTGGCGGCTCGCTCCTGGTGGACCTCTTGTTTTCATTGTTTCCTGCAAGATAGTTTATAGGATATTACCAATGAGGGGTCGTGTAAACAAGGCCAATACATGTACATACGCAGGAATTCGTGTGTTTTTCTTCGATTTTGTTGTCATCTCGGTCCCTCTATATCATATAAACTTTATTATCCCCTAGCAACGAAAGTTCGAAGGTATATAGGAATCCGCTCGTATGTACGTATGTACGTATGTTACATTCTTTGTCATCGCTCGAGCGACTTCATTCCTCAACGGAATATCATGAAACTTCATACACGTTTTTAGTATGACAATACATTGAACAAATTCGCATTTCGGGTTTCTATGTTGAAGGTCAAGGTCACTGTTATTATTTTAAGAAAACCTTTGACATCGCTCTACCGACGTCGTTGCTCAACGGAATTTCATGAAACTTCATACAAGTGTTTGGTATGGCAATGCCTTGACATTTCTACGTTGAACGTGGTGACAAGGCTAACAGTGTTACATGTATATCTTTGGCGAGTGTAGGGTTTCCACAGTGTAATGCATATAGCGGTGGGTCAAAGTTCGATTTGGAGAGGGCATTCGGTAAGTTCGTCAATGAATATGAGGTAGTATAATGTACAGATAATATTCCTCCCTGTCTCAATCCGCTTCGCATATCAACCAATCGAGAACGGGTCCCATTGCATAAAATAGATCTTTTGAGGCCTGTGCATGTATTCTGAATAATGGTAAGTATACTCCCAATAATCCATTTCATTCTAAATTTTTGTATGAGACTGTTATGCCACACTGTATCAAATGCCTTCTTAATGTCTATAGGAAAGCGGCTAAGACCTTAATGTGCTTTCCGGTGTTAGCATTGAGCGTTTCCTGTAGTATAAATGATGCTGTCTTTTTTTGGACAAAACGCTGAAACCCGTGTTGCTGTTCTTTCGGGAACGTTGGGGTGTTTTCCCCGAGCCAAACTTTAAGTCGTTTGTGGATAATACTTTCATGAAGTTTGTACATAGCCGGTAGAAGCGAAATAGGCCGATAGTTCCCTGGGTCTGATCTTTGTTTGTTGTTTCCTTTGTATATCGGTATTATAATATCCTTTTCCAGATTTCCGGGATTGTAGAACTCCTCGTTATGAGCTTAAAGAAGTTCGTCAGGTAAAGTAATGAGAGTTCGTTCACCATATTTAAAATGTTCGTTGGTTCATGTAGACAAAGTCAATACATGTGTATACGCAGGGATTCGTGGTTTGTTTTCTTCAATCATGTTGTCCTCCCGGTTCCTCCATTATTTCACATACTTATAAAACAAGTTTGACAATTTATAAATCCCACGTGGTCGGGCAGGTGCCCTCATACCTGTTCACGTCGGATCGGGGAATCGAACCCCGGCCGCCTTGGTGAAAGGTAAGTGCACTGTCCACTGTGCTACCCGACCATCCTGTTCTTCTTGTTTTATATTCCTCACTTCTCGAAGTAAACGAGGGATATCAATGTCTGTCTGTCTGTCTCCCTCCGTTCAGTAACTGCCTCAAAGGTTGTCCGATTTTAAAGGGCTGAGTTCGACTGTCGATTGTATCCGTGAATATTAACGCATACAGTGTTCGTAATGAGGTAACAAACTTTTGCTTGGCTTATTGGTCTCAGTGCATTTATTACCACAAAACTTATTGACATGTCTCAGGCCGAGTTCTATTGTGAATGTTATCTGTTTGTATTTGAATCTCAATTAAATGACAGATCCTGGTCAGCGGGGGATATGAATTCAACGAATTTTCTTTTGTTGATTCCATTTCTTCTTTGAATATGAGATCCGTGTAATCAATATGTTAAGCTATGACGTGGATTGAACGTGATCAGCATTGCAACTAAGATAAACACATCATATTAGTGGAAGGACATCCGATACGCTCATTTATATCATCGGGAGACAGTATATGTATGACAGAAACCATTTATACCACACGTTGATTGGCATTTATCATTGGCATTTAAATGATTACATATTAGCTCAAGAGACTATAATCAATTATGTCTTTTAAAATTGGCCTTTGCCTGTACAATTTCCAAATGAATAGAAAGCCGATAAAAATGATGATAAATATTGCTCGCAAAATGACAAAGGAAGCTATATTTCACTTTAATAAAACAAGTCGTTTTTATAAAATATTCGAATCTTTCTCAAGTCGACGCGGTGTTTGGTGTGTTGCTACATAACGCTGTCACGTTCATTGTTGTATTTAGAATCGATCTCGCTGTCACGTTCATTATTGTATTTAGAATCGATCTCGCTGTCACGTTCATTGTTGTATTTAGAATCGATATCGCGGTCACGTTCATTGTTGTATTTAGAATCGATCTCGCGGTCCCGTTCATTGTTGTATTTAGAATCGATCTCGCGGTCACCTTCATTGTTTTATTTAGAATCGATCTCGCGGTCACGTTCATTGCATTTAGAATCGATCTCGCGGTCACGTTCATTTTTGTATTTAGAATCGATCTCGCGGTCACGTTCATTGCATTTAGAATCGATCTCGCGGTCACGTTCATTGCATTTAGAATCGATCTCGCGGTCACGTTCATTTTTGTATTTAGAATCGATCTCGCGGTCACGTTGATTATTGTATTTAGAATCGATCTCGCGGTCGCGTTCATTGTTGTATTTAGAATCGATCTCGCTGTCACGTTCATTATTGAATTTAGAATCGATCTCGCGGTCACGTTCATTATTGTATTTAGAACCGCTCTCGCTGTCCCGTTCATTGTTGTATTTAGAATCGATCTCGAGGTCACGTTCATTGTTGTATTTAGAAGCGATCTCGCGGTCACGTTCATTGGTGTATTTAGAATCGATCTCGCGGTCGGTATATCTGTCCTGGTTAAAGACAGCGCATTGATTGTATTTAATGAATTATGTAATAAAAAGGTGGAAATCGCGGTCACGTTCATTATTGTATTTAGAATCGATCTCGTTGTCACGTTCATTGTTGTATTTAGAATCGATCTCGCTGTCACGTTCATTATTGTATTTAGAATCGATCTCGCTGTCACGTTCATTATTGAATTTAGAATCGATCTCGCGGTCACGTTCATTGTATTTAGAATCGATCTCCCGGTCACGTTCATTGTTGTATTTAGAATCGATCTCGCGGTCACGTTTATTGTTGTATTTAGAATCGATCTCGCGGTCGGTATATCTGTCCTGGTTAAAGACAGTGCATTGATTGTATTTAATGAATTATGTAATAAAAAGGTGGAAATCGCGGTCACGTTCATTATTGTATTTAGAACCGCTCTCGCTGTCCCGTTCATTGTTGTATTTAGAATCGATCTCGCTGTCACGTTCATTATTGTATTTAGAATCGATCTCGCTGTCACGTTCATTATTGAATTTAGAATCGATCTCGCGGTCACGTTCATTGCATTTAGAATCGATCTCGCGGTCACGTTCATTGCATTTAGAATCGATCTCGCGGTCACGTTCATTTTTGTATTTAGAATCGATCTCGCGGTCACGTTCATTGCATTTAGAATCGATCTCGCGGTCACGTTCATTGCATTTAGAATCGATCTCGCGGTCACGTTCATTGTATTTAGAATCGATCTCCCGGTCACGTTCATTGTTGTATTTAGAATCGATCGCGCGGTCACGTTCATTGTTGTATTTAGAAGCGATCTCGCGGTCACGTTCATTGGTGTATTTAGAATCGATCTCGCGGTCGGTATATCTGTCCTGGTTAAAGACAGCGCATTGATTGTATTTAATGAATTATGTAATAAAAAGGTGGAAATCGCGGTCACGTTCATTATTGTATTTAGAATCGATCTCGTTGTCACGTTCATTGTTGTATTTAGAATCGATCGCGCGGTCACGTTCATTGTTGTATTTAGAATCGATCTCGCGGTCGGTATATCTGTCCTGGTTAAAGACAGTGCATTGATTGTATTTAATGAATTATGTAATAAAAAGGTGGAAATCAATGCACGTACAACAATTTTATGAAACACGGATTGTCTTCGTTTCTTTAGAATCGAAAAAAGATGACCTCTGTTCTAAATGTTTGAACTTCAATAGAAGTGACAACAACATCAGACGGATTGTTCCAGCAATTTCATTCAAAGTTTAAAGTTAAGGTCCGCATGGTTCATTGTCGTCGTCATCGCTGAAATTTCCTGAACCTTCTTCTAAGCGAAAGTTCGATCTTAATGTCTTAGATATAGATATGTAACTGCGAGTCTTCATCGGCAAAAATATCCAGAAAAAGTATCTAACGATTTTCAGCAATAAAAATAACGTTATTTCCATCAAAATAGGAGAAATTGAACAAAAAATGAGAGAAGTCAACGTTGACATCTTTCTCACCATACATTGTATACAACAAGGACAACTATTTCTTGGTTTCACTTGTTTGGCACGGGAACTATCCCATCCTCGATACTCCAGCATCCTCGTATCCTCGATACTCTCGTATTCACGTATCGAAAATTAGGGTTTCAGAGAGCGTAAGTGAGCGTAAACCCTGAAGTATCGAGGATGGGGGTGCAGAGAGTGAACGTGAGCGTAACCCCTGGAGTATCGAAGATGGGGTTGCAGACAGCGTAAGTGAGCGTAACCCCTGAAGTATCAAAGATGGGGTGCAGAGAACGAACGTGAGCGTGACCCCTGGAGTATCGAAGATGAGGTGCAGAGAGTGAAAGTGAGCGTTACCGATGGAGTATCAATGAAGGGGTGCAGAGAACGAACGTGAGCGTGACCCCTGGAGTATCAATGAAGGGGTGCAGAGAACGAACGTGAGCGTGACCCCTGGAGTACCAATGAAGGGGGTGCGGAGAGCGAACGTGAGCGTGACCCCTGGAGTACCAATGAAGGGGTGCAGAGAACGAACGTGAGCGTGACCCCTGGAGTATCAATGAAGGGGGTGCGGAGAGCGAACGTGAGCGTGACCCCTGGAGTACCAATGAAGGGGGTGCGGAGAGCGAACGTGAGCGTTACCCCTGGAGTATCGAAGATGGGGGTGCAGAGACCGAACGTGAGCGTAATCCATGGAGTATGGAGGCTGGGGGTGGAGACAGCGTAAGTGAGCGTAACCCATGGAGTATGGAGGCTGGGGGTGGAGACAGCGTAAGTGAGCGTAACCCCTGGAGTATC